GAATATGAAAATAGACATCCTTGCCTTGTTCCTGACATTAGAAGAAAGGCATTCAGTCTTCACAGTTAGGTATGATGTGGGATGTAGATTTTTTTGTGAATGTTCCTTATCAGACTGTGGAAGGTTGCTCCATTGCTAGTATGCTAAACATTGTTATCAGCAATGGATGTTGGATTTTTGTCATGTGCTTTTTTACATATATTGGGGTGGTCATATGTTTGTTTGATTTTTAGTCTATTAATATAGTAAATTACACTGATTGAGTTTTTTATTTGTTAAAACATACTTTCGGCTGGGTGCGGTGGCTCATGCCTGTAATCCCAGCACTTTGGGAGGCTGAAGTGGGTGGATCATGAGGTATGAGATTGAGACCACCCTGGCCAACATGGTGAAACCCCCATCTCTACTAAGAATGCAAAAATTAGCTGGTGTGGTGGCAGGCACCTGCATTCCCAGTTACTCAGGAGGCTGAAGCAGAATTGTTTCAACCAGGGAGTTGAAGGGCAGAGAGCTGAGATCATGCCACTGTACTCCAGCCTGGTGACAGAGCAAGACTCTGTTTCAAAAACAAAACAAAACAAACAAACAAAAACAACATACTTTCATCCTTAGACTACGTTTCTCTCTCCTTTCCTCCCTTACACTAGTAGAGTGAGCAGTTGACTTGGAAACTCAGAAATCCTGGGGGAAATTTTGGTTCTGCCACTTATTAACCATGACCTTGAGCTCTTCACTAAATCTCTCTGACATTCACTCTCTTACATATAAAATAGGAATGATTATGTCCATGTGAAAGTATTATTGGGTAGACTAATTAAGAATGTTTTTAAGAACTGTCAGTAAATTGTAATATATATGTTATATATGTAGAAGGTTTAAGCATTCATGCTGAGGAGTTTTCCATGACAGCAAAATACCAACAAGTGCAACATAAAAACCAAGGATGTCATTTGGCAAAAAAAAAACACCTCCTTTGCCACCAGAGCAATTCTCTATGCCATGTCATATTATCTTCCCAACATCTTTGGAAGATGAGCTTAGTTTGCCAGTTTCAAAGGTGAAGAAGATGAATCACAGATAAGCATAGGTTGATTTTTATGTCTTTGAAAATGGTCATAAAAATATAGAGAGGAACATTTGACTTTATTTTTCTTCCCTACCATATCATGCCAGAAAAAAACATCTCATTCTGATAATTTAGTTGTATGTTTGAATTTCTCATCTTCTATCCCTCCCAGGTTTTCAGTGTTGCATTTCCTTTCACAATTTAAAGGAAAGATTTCTATGAGATGCACACATAAAGTCTTTCACAGAATAAGCAGACACAAAATGTGGACGATTCTTGATTTCTATTTAAGAAGAAGACAGCCAGCTCATTTTCTTCCTGCCTCACCTTGGCAAAGCTGATTAAGTTTATTTGAAATACTGCCAAATGTTTGATCTTTTAATTAATATTTCCTGTATCTCTATAGCAATCTTCTCCTAGAACCTCAAAAGAAATTCATAGTCATTATTAGTTAATACACTCAGGGTCCCTGTGAGACAGGAACAGGGCAGGTAGTGTTATCTGCCTCTTTCACATGAGAGAACTGGAAGTCAGCGTGATGCCTCCAGCCTGTTTCAAGGGGTCTGGGTGATTCAGGAGAAGATCTCAGGGTACTCTCACCAGTATAATTTTTAGCTGGAAAAAATTTGTTTAGGCCCAAGTACAGGAATAGCAGGAATAATTAGAAAATTTATTTAGGCCCGAATACAGCAATATTTATATTGCTGAAAATCAAATTTACAGTTTCTTGCTGCCTGATATTAACCCTTCCTTTTACTCAAACAAGGCATTCTGGATTTTTAAACACTTTTGTCATCCACACAGATATTCATCTGCCATCTACCCATTCATCCATCCATGTATGCATTTCCAACAAAGCACCCACAGACACTATCCTAAATCCTACAGCCACAAAGTTGAAAAAGATTTAGTCCTTTCCTTCAAAGAACTAAGTCTTCTAGAGACAGACATTAGCATGTTCTTCAAAATAAGGCAAATTCTCTGACATACATATGCATATGAAATAGCATCACAAATAAAAATGTGGAAGTTACCAATTCTATCTGGGGTCCTTTAGAAAGAAAATACATTGTTATATTCGCAATACAGCAACTCATGGGATTTAAAACCCAAGCAGGTGTTTTAAATTGTGATACCATCATGCTTTAGAGTGATGCTTTTCAGACTTCAGTGTGCATGAGAATCACCTAGAGGGCTTGCTGAAACATGGATTCCTTGGCTCCCATCTCCAGCAACTCTGATTCATGAGTTTAGAGTAAATGTATTGTTGGCAAACTCCTAGGTGATGCTGATGCTGCGGGTGCAAGGCCACATTTTGAGAACAGACATAACCTTTAGAGGCAGACATAACCTTTGTATCACGGTTTTAACCAGGTAATTCCCTGGATAATTTTTTTTGGGCTTTACATGGAATCTAAGAATGGCAGAGGTCAATGAATAAAAATTCTCATTTTATAGAAGAGGCAAGTGTGATCTAGAAATTTTTAGTGATTTGCACATTGCCTGCTTAAGCAGCAGCAAAGCTGATTCTACACTACTTTTTAAATGGTGATTTCTAGTAATTTTGCCTCATAGAGCTAGCTGATCCTGTGAATCTACCAGTTACAGGTTTTGGTCACTTTTATGAGTATTGATGTACTGATGGAAAACGGCCTGTGAGGGTGGATGTGGGTATCTGTACAGAGACAAACTGCAAAGCAAACACTAGGATGGAGGCAAAGCACCCACTTCCATGGCAAGAAATTTTAGCAGGTCTATTTGTCTCAGTTGTAGTAGTTTTACAGGAAGCTGTTTAGTGAAGCAGCTGTTCAGAAATCTGAAGCCACTTCCTGTGGTCCTCTACTTCAATAGGGAATTATTGCTCATGAACTTTTATGCTTATTGAGGAGTATACACAGGCATACCTTATTTTATTGTGCTTTGCTTTATTGTACTTTGCAAATACTAGGCTTTATGCAAATTGAAGTTTGTGGCAATCCTGGGACAAGCTAGTTTATCATCACTGTTTTTCCAACAGCATATGCCTACTTTGTGTTTCTGTGTCACCTTGTGGTAATTTTAGCAATATTTCAGACTTTTTAAACACTCATATCTGTTATTGTGATCTATGATTAGTGATTTTCAATGTTACTATTGTAATTCTTTTTGGGCAGCACAAATAGTGCCCATAGAAGATGGCAAATTAAATCAATAAATGTTGTGTATTCTGACTGCTGTATCCGCAGGCTGTTCCACCATCTCTCCCCTCTTTTTGGGCTTCCCTATTCCCTGAGATACTAAATATTAAAGTTGGGCCAATTAATAACCCTATGCAATGGCTTCTATGTGTTCAAGTGAAAGGAAGACTTGCACATCTCTTATGTCAAAAACTATAAATAATTAAGCTTACTGAGGAAGGCAGGTCAAAAGATAAGATAGACCAAATTCTAGGCCTCTTGTGCCAAATAGCCAAGTTGTGAATGCAAGGAAAGGAAAGCGAAACAGCTTTATTGCCAATATGGAGAAAGGTTTCATGTTCTGAAGAGAAGGTCAAACTAGAGATAATATTTGCTTAAGCTAAAGCCTAATCAAGAGAAAGACCCTAACTCTCTTTAATTCTATGAAAGCTGAGAGAGGTAAGGGAGCTGAAGAAGAAAAATTTTAAGCTAGTAGAGTTTGGTTTGTGAGGTTTAAGGAAAGAAGTTGACTCCATATCATAAAAGCATAAGATGAAGCAGAATTTTCTGGTGTAGCAAGTGCAACAAGTCATTCAGAAGGTGTATGTATGAAGGTGTCTAGATTCAACAACAGATTTTCAATAGAGACAAAAACACAGCTTTATATTGGAGGAAGGTGCCATGTAGGACCTTCATAGCTAAAGAGGAGAAATCAATGTCTGGTTTCAAAGTGTCTAAGGACAAGCTGACTATCTTGCTAGGGGCTAATGCAGCTGGTGATAATAAGTTGAAGCTGGCACCCATATATCATTCCAAGAACACTAGGGCCCTTAGAATTATGCTGAATCTACCATTCCAAGAACACTAGGGTCCTTAAGAATTATGTTAAATCTACTTGGCCTGTGATGTACAAATGAAATCATAAAGTCTGTATGACAGAACATCTGTTTACATCATGGTTTACTGAATATTTTAAGGCAACCGTAGAGACTTGCAGATACCTTTAAAAATATGACTGCCCATTGACAATGCACGTAGTGACCCAAGAGCTCTGATGGAGATGTACAAGGAGATTAATGTTGTTTTCATGCCTGTTAACACAACTTCCATTCTGTAGCACCTGGATCAATAAGTAATTTCAACATTCAAGTCTTATTATTTAAGAAATATATTTAGTAAAGCTATACCTGTCATAGACCTACAGATTCTCTGATGGATCCAGGCAAAATTAATTGAAAATCTTCTGAAAAGAATTCACCATTCTAGATGACATTAAAAATATTCATAATTCATGGAACGAAGTAAAAATGTTAACAGTAACAGGAGATTGGAAGAAGTTGATTTCATACCTCATGGATGATTTTGTGGGGTTCAAGACTTCAGTGAAAGTGGAAAAAAACTGCAGAAGTAATAGAAATAACAAGAGAACTAGAAATAGAAGTGGAAGGCTGATGATATGACTAAAATATTTTAATCTCAATAGAACTTCAACAAATGAGAAGTTGGTTCTTATGGATGAACAAAGAAAGTGGTTTCTTGAGATGGAAACTAGTCTTGGTGAAGATACTGTGAACATTGTTTAAATAACAACAAATAATGTAAAATATTATATAAACAGTTGTAAAGCTGCATCAGGGTTGGAGAGGATTGATTTCAATTCTGAAAGAAGTTCTACTGTGAGTAAAATGCTATCTAACAGCAATACATGCTACAGAAATTTTTTTTGTGATAGGAAGAGTTAATTGATGTGGCAAACTTTATTATTTTCTTATTTTAAGAAATTGCCACAGCCACTTCAGTCTCAGCAACCATCAGCCTGACCAGTCAGCAATCATCAATCTCAAGGTAAGACCCTCCATCAGCAAAAAGATTTCAACTCACTGAAGGCTTAGATGACTGTTACCATTTTTTAGCAATAAAGTATTTTAATTAAGATATGTACATTGTTTTTTTCAGTCATAATACTACTGCACACTTACTAGACTACAGTATAGCGTAAAAATAACTTTTATATTTACTGGGAAACCAAAACATTTGTATGACTTGCTTTTGTGTCATTTGTTTTACTGCAGTGGTCTGAAACCAAACCTGCAGTATCTCTGAGATATGCATGTAGATATAGCAACTTTTGCTTATTTTGACTTGGGATTGGATGAGTGGAGAAGACAGCAGGGAAGGACTGAACTAACAGATTTCTAGGTTTCTGTCACTTTAGCTTTGTGGTGCTGCTTTTATTTTGTCCATCAATTGTTCAGGTGACCAATCTTATGTCTCAGCTGAGAATGCGGCTCTGGCACCTTTCAATGAGCCTTTGATCTGCGGGCTCCTTAAAGTCTGGACCTTTCCTTCTTTATGTATCCCCAGGGCTTCACACAAAGGCTAGCATGAGCCTCAGGAAATGTTTGCTGAATGGATGGATAAACCGTGAATGTATAAATGCCCCCTCTCAGAATTCTGCTGGCTTTTCCCAAAAGCCCCAAAACAAGGCTAAGGGCTGGCCTGAGGCAAAACTAAGGGCTCTTAAGCACTGAAGCACAACAAATCATATGGAGGCAGTCCGGCCCTTTCTAACCTTCAGGCACATGGCAATTCAGTGTGGATCTTTGCTGGTCAATGCTTCTTTAGAGAACATTCTACTTATCTTTTTTTATTTTTTTAAGGTGTATATATTATTTATTTATTTAATAAAATTATTTGGCCTCTATTTTAAAGTGTATAATTCAGTAGTGTGAAGCATACTCACACTGTTGTGAAACAGATCCCCAGAACTTTTTTATCTTGCAAATCTGAAACTCTATATTCATTATACAACTTCTCTTTTTCTTCTCCACTCAAACCCTGGAAACCACCGTTCTATTTTCTGTTTCTATGAATTTCACTATTTTAGATACCTTATAATAGTAGAATTATACAATATTTGCATTTTTGTGTCTGGCTTATTTCACTTAGCAAATGATATTTACTTAGCAACATGGATACCTTCAAGGTTCATGCATGTTGTACCATGTGACAAAATTTTTGTCTTTTTTATGGCTAAAAAATACTCCACTGCATGTATATACCACGTTTTGTGTATTCATTTATCTGTTGATAGACATTTGGACTGCTCATACCTCTTTGTCTATTGTGAATAGTGATGTTATGAACATGGATATACAAATACAATCATGTACCATGTAACATATTGCTCAACAATAAGCCATGTATATGACAGTGGTTCTATCGTATGGTATTTTTACTGTATCTTTTCTGTGTTTAGATATATTGAGATACACAAATACTTACCATTGTGTTACAATTGCCTACAGTATTTAGTACAGTAACATGCTGTAGCCTAGGTTTGTAGCCTAGGAGCAATAGGCTATACCTTACCATCTAGTTGTGTAGTAGATTCTATCATCTAAGTTTGTGTAAGAATAGTGTGATAACCTGCTTTTTGCCAGCTAAAACTAACTCTCTCTCAGGCTAAAAGCTGTTCAGGCTTTCTGTTAGCTTCTTGAGCTGGACAGACTCCATCTTAGCTTCTTCATTTTAGTTATTTTCCCACCATTAAGTATGTAACTATAGTATGTAGCTAGGGTAGGCTGACACTGGGCATCTCCAGGAATGCATTTGTTGATAAGAGGCCAAGTTAAATGGTACCAGCAGAGCCTGGAATGCAGGTGCTGTCCAGTGCCCAGAGCCCCCATTATCTATAAGTTGTATGTCTTTCATGACAGCTTTACCCCTTGCACCTGGCACTGTTTTATTTCTCATGTACTAATTTATCTTTTAACTTTTTGCTTACTCTGCTTTTGTGAAAAATTTGCTTCAGCTAGGTTTCCCCTCCCTTTTAAAACTAGGGTATAAAAGACCACCTAACTTTTTCTTAGGTGCCAAGAGAATTTTGGGCATTGGCCACCTCTCAGTGGCCATAATAACGAACTCATAATTCAATCTCAGAGTATGGCACATTCCTTGACTCGCTTGGGTACAACAATAATATAGTGAACATCATAGAGTTATGATGTTCACTCAATGACAAAATCACCTAATAATGTATTTCTCAAAAATATCCCTGTCATTAAGTTACACATGACTGGGTCTCTTTGAAATCCTACTTTCAATTTTTTTGACTATATACCCAGAAGTGGAATTCCTGGGTCATACGATGATTTTATTTTTGATTTTTGAGGAACCATACTATTTTCATACTATAGCAATTACACCATTTTACAATCCCACCCATGTGCAACAAAGTTTCCAATTTCTCTACATCCTTTCTAATGGGTATGAGGTGATATAGCATTATGGTTTTCATTTGCATTCCTCTGATGATAAATTATGTTGAGCATCTTTTTATATGCTTGTTGGCCATTTGTATCTCAATCATTTTTGGAGAAATGTCTATTCAAATTTTTTGCCCATTTTAAAAATTGGGTTATTTGATTTTTTATTCTTGAGTTATAGAACATCTTTATGTATTTTAGATATTAACTTCTATCAGATACATGATTTGCAAATATTTTCTCCTATTTTGTAGGTTGCATTTTCACTGTGTTGATTGTATCCTTTGATGTGCAAAAGCTTCGAAGTTCGATATAGTTCTTTTTGTTTATTTTTGCTTTTGTAGCCTATGTTTTTGGCATCATAATTAAGAAATCGTTGGCAACTACAATGTTATGAGATTTTTCTCTATATATTTTCTTCAGTAGTTTTATAGTTTTAGGCCTTTAATCTATTTTGAGTTAACTTTTATATGGAGTGTAAGGTAAGGGTCCAACTTCATTCTTTTGCATGTGGATATCCAGTTTTACCAACAGTCTCTGTAGACAGTTCATCTTTCTTCCATTGAGTAACCTTTTTATCTTTGTCAAATATCACTTGATTGTGTACATGCGGATTTATTTCTGGGCTCCCTATTTTATTCTTTTGTTCTATTTTATTCTTTTTGTCTGTCTTTATGCCAGCATAACAGTTTTAAATGCTGTAGTTTTGAAATTATGAAGTATGTGGACTCCAACTTTGTTCTTCCTTTTCCAAATTGTTTTGGTATTTGGGGTTCCCTAAAATTTCATATGAACTTTGAGAGGAATTTTTCTATATCTGAAAAAAATATTGTTGAGATTTTGGTAGGGATTGGGTTGAATCTGTAGATTACTTTGGGTAGCATGGACATGTTAACAATATTAAGTTTTTCAATCCATGAGTATGAAATGTCTTTCCATTTATTTGAGTCTTCCTTAATTTCTTTCAGCACTATTTTACAGTTTTCAGTGTACACACTTTCACCTTCTTGGTTAGGTTTGTTCATAAGTATTTTATTATTTTGGATGCTATTGTAGCATATGTATCTTTATGCTCTAGATTTTTCATCTACAAATGGCTTAATGATGAATCAGATTATCTCTTCAGTGAATTAGCCCAATTGAGGGAACAGAATTCTTCATTATAGCTAAAACATAAAGTCCTTTATGGAGATGTATAGATCCCGGAGTTTCATGCATTGTTACAGCTGTGAGAGAATCCAAAAATTACTCCATATGGGCCTCCTATTCCCCTGTGTCCTGGTTAGCCCAGTCAATAAGTATGTGATGGATTTATTTTATTTTTTTTACTTTAGATTCTGGGGTACATGTGCAGATCATGCAGCATTGTTGCATAGGTACATACATGGCAATGTGGTTTGCTGCCTCCATCTTCCATCACCTATATCTGACATTTCTCCCCATGTTATCCCTTCTCAACCTCCCTACCCCCACCGTCCCCTCCCCTAGTCTCCCACAACAGACCCCAGTGTGTGATGCTCCCCTCTCTGTGTCCATGTGTTCTCATTGTTCAACACCTGCCTATGAGTGAGAACATGTGGTGTTTGATTTTCTGTTCTTGTGTCAGTTTGCTGAGACTGATGGTTTCCAGATTCATCCATGTCCCTACAAAGGACCCAAACTCATCGTTTTTGATGGCTGCATAGTATTCCATGGTGTATATGTGCCACATTTTCCTTGTCCAGTCTATCATCGATGGGCTTTTGGGTTGGTTCCAGGTCTTTGCTTTTGTAAACAGTGCCACAGTAAACATACGTCTGCATGTGTCTTTATAATAGAATGCTTTATAATCCTTTGGATATATACCAGTAATGGGATTGCTGAGTCAAATGGAATTTCTATTTTTAGGTCCTTGAGGAATCGCCACACTGTCTTTCACAATGGTTAAACTAATTTATACTCCCACTGACAGTGTAGAAGTGTTCCTATTTCTCCACATCCTCTCCAGCACCTGTTGTCTCCAGATTTTTTTAATGATTGCTATTCTAACTGGCATGAGATGGTATCTTAATGTGGTTTTGATTTGCATTTCTCTAATGACCAGTGATGATGAGCATTTTTTCATATGTTTATTGGCCCCATAAATGTCTTCTTTTGAAAGTGTCTGTTCATGTCCTTCACCCACTTTTGAATGGGTTTTTTTTTTTTCTTGTAAATCTGTTTTAGTTCTTTGCAGATTCTGGATATTAGCCCTTTGTCAGATGAGTAGATTGCAACAATTTTTTCCTAGCCTGTTGGTTGCTGGTTCACTCTAATGATTTTTTCATTTGCTGTGCAGAAGCTCTGGAGTTTAATTAGATCCCATTTGTCTATTTTGGGTTTTGTTGCCAATGCTTTTGGCGTTTTAGTCATGAAGTCCTTCTATGCCTATGTCCTGAATGGTTTTGTCTAGGTTTTCTTCTAGGGTTTTTATGGTGTTAGGTCTTATGTTTAAGTCTTTAATTCATCTGGAGTTAATTTTAGTGCAAGGTGTCAGGAAGGGGTCCAGTTTTTGTTTTCTGCACATGGCTGCCAGTTTTCCCAACACCATTTATTAAACAGCGAATCCTTTCCCCATTGCTTGTTTTTGTCAGGTTTATCAAAGATCATATAGTTGTAGATATGTGGCATTGCCTCCGAGGCCTCTGTTCTGTTCCATTGTTCTATATCTCTGTTTTTTTTACCAGTACCATGCTGTTTTGATTACTGTAGGCCTGTAATATAGTTTGAAGTCAGGTAGTTTGATGCCTCCAGCTTTGTTCTTTTTGCTTAGAATTGACTTGGCTATGTGGACTCTTTTGGTTCCATATGAAGTTTAAGGTGGTTTTTTTAGTTCTGTGAAGAGGGTTGCTTGATGGGGATAGTGTTTAATCTGTAAATTACTTTGGGCAGTATGTTGGTTTTCCCAATATTAAACCTTCCTAACCATGAGCATGGACTGTTTTTCCACCTGTTTGTGGTTTTTATTATTATTATTTTTTTGTCATCTCTCCTTCAGACTCCCTATAGTATTTTATTATTATTATATGAACTTCAATATAATCCCCTTCTGATTTCCAAAGGAACATACTAACTCTGAAATATTTTGTGCATAGGGAAGTTATTAGCAAATTTCTGATCGATGTAGCATGGATTATAAGTGTGGTGGCACCTGTAACTTGGATGTTAAAATTAGAGCAGATACTGGTAGTTATCTTGTCTTTTTTTATTATTGCTAACTAAATGTGGTTAACTAGAGCTTGGATTACCCCAACCCCAAAGGCCAATAAGTCACTGAACTTCATGTACAAAAGGATTGTCCTTCTGAAGAAGAATTTCTCCATTTTTAATGCTACCGGAGTCATATCAGAATTTCAGTGGCACCCTAGTTC